CACCTCTCTAGCTTCAACAGCACACGGTCTGCTCCAACTATCAAAGCACCCTGGAAACAGCAGGTCACAAGAGAGTGACAAAAATACAAAAGAAGTAGAGGAAAATGACAATAGTAAGGATCAGGAAAGAAAAAGCAGCAGTTCCCTGTTGTAGATCAGGCACAGTTATGAGCGTGGCATGAGTCAGCCCATTTACAATTCTACTATGCTTGAACAAGAAATGTCCCTCCTTTGGGAATTGCCTAAAGACACTTCAGTCAGTGGCACTGCCCAGGGGCCCCGCTTCTAAAAAGGAACAAAAATGTATAATACATGGAAAAGCAATACCTAGGTAAAAACCTAAAGCTGAGACAAACGGAAACTAAAAAGTTCAAACCAATATTCCTTTATTCATTTTCTATTCCGATCATGGGTTTATATTTCTAAAAAAACCCAGTTGTTTCCTTCAGAATTCAATAAATACTGAAAGGAAAAGACGAGTAAGACCAGAATGTCACTGGTAAACTAGCTGGCAAGAGAATATTATGCGTGCTCAGCTGAGCAGTGAAATTATACGACACATCGATTTTTCAAAGTAAAAAAAGAGAAATACAGTTCTCTATTTCCAGATACAAAATCTTTTCTGAAGGACATTTTGTTACCCTTTGAAAAAAAATAATAAAAAGAGGGCAGGGGAAAGGCGGGGGTTAGACCTCTTTGTCGTATTTCATTTCAAAAGCAAAACTCTATTTTAATGAGCATTCAAAGGGTTATAAAGACTACAGTTACCAAAGCAGTTTGGACGCACATGATCTTTATATCGTCACATAAACAATACATATTTATATTTGGAAGTAATTTAATTCTAAGTTCAAAGACATTAAATTCTAAAATATATTTACAAACACTGTAGTAAACACTTACTTACCTCACCGTTACAGAAGCAAAATATTATAGCTACAAGGGTTCCCTGAAAAGATATAAAACGAATGGAGATTTTTTTTAAAAGTCAAAATAATATTCTGCAGCATTGAAAAAGGCGGTACAAAGAAAGGGTAGATGAACGATATCATAACACACATTACCCCCAACGTTCTAGATGTATAAGTTATGTTTCTTTTGAAACAAAATAGCTGATGACGTTGCCTGTCACGTAATTTTGTGTGGAAACGATCTGCCTGTGCTTCCTGATTCAGTTCGTGTCCACGCAAAATTATGTGACAGGCATTACAAGGTTAAGCTGAAGTCTTTATAGTAGGTGAAACGCATTTTCTTTCTTCACACACATGCACGCACACAGAAACATAATTATACACATGCACGTCATCATACACACGTACACTCACAGAAACACACAAACACATACAAACATACCCATACATCACAATAATTAGGAAGGAGAGATAGACAGAGAGAGAGAGAGAGGGAGAGAGAGAGAGAGGGGGAGATAGAGAGAGAGAGAGATAAATAGATAGAGAGAGAGAGAGAGAGAGAGAGAGAGAGAGAGG